CGTGGTGCAGGAACAAGTTCGGACTTGTCCGGGTGAATGAGAAATCCTAGATGTGTGAACACATGGATGATAAAGTTGGTGTGGTGGATGAGTATCCAAGTACGTATGTGACGGGCCAGAAAATCGTCCAGGTATGCATGAATGGCAATGTGTCTGAGATGTAGAAAATTGAGGACACGATTCATCACAACAGTAAAAAGCCATGGAGCTATTGAAATCCAGAATGGCAGGACGCGAAACTGAAAACGTTGACCGTGAAACGTAGATATTTCTGGGATTGTGGATGTATCGGAATATGAAGATATGCATCCTTGAGATCTAGGCTTGTGAACTTCGTGTCTGGACGGACAAGTTTGCGGACATTCCGAAGTGACTCCATTGTAAATTTCGGAGGCCGGCGGAGGAACTGTTTGTTTAGGATTTTTAAGTCGATGACCAACCTCATCTCCGGAGCATCCTTTTTGGGCACCAGAAAGAACGGTGAGTAAAATCCTGGAGTGCAGTCGTGAGGGGACAACTCGACAATAGCCTGCTTGAGGAGTAGTTGCTGAATAACCGTGAGTGCCGCTGATTGACGTGGGCCCTTGAGGAAAAAACGACGTCCTATGGGATGAACTGTTAATGGTGGCAGACGATCGAATTGGAGATAGTAGCCTCTCTGAATTACTGATAGGATTCAGGGATCGCCCGTGATCAGAGTCCAGTTGTTGTGATAATGAGACAGACGGGCCCCTACTGGGGATGTTAGCACTGGCTGTTGAAAGTCCATAATCAGATTCATGTCTGAGGCGTTTCCAAGACGAAAGGATCTGAAGGCTGTGGAACATGAATGGATGAGTCAACGTTTACGCGGGAGGGAGCGGGAGGCTCGACAGGAACGAGAACCCCTTGACCGAGATAGTGGTAAACCCTGCTGGTTATTAGGACGTAGGGATTCGGATTGAGAAGTAGCTCTATCAAATGCTGATAGATAGGGCGTGATAGAGATGAGCCTCTTCTTCCACGTGTGGGTGGTCGGGAAGGTCGAGCCTGGGCTAAAAGAGCTGCCACTAGCTGCTGATTCAAATTCCGAGACACCTGGGCATCTTGAGAGGAGATAGCTTGAGCACATTTACCATTCAAGAGTGATGATGCTTTAATAGGCTGTTGAACCGACATGGCAACCATAGTGTCTGGTTTGATACCGGTGTAGTCATCAAATACCGGAGGTAGAAGTTGGCGTACCCCCCCCCGAGGCAAACCAATTAATATATGATAGTATATCAACTGATGATCGTGCCGAGTGATCAATGTCCTTTAATTCCCTCTGCGTCACTGGTATCTTGGACGAAGTGATGCGAGCAGCACGTGGATCTAAAGAAGCAAAATCTTTATCCAGGTCCGGACTAGTAGTCGGGAAGAAGCGGTCATGTATACCATAAGATTGTAGAAGTTGAGTTTAGGTAACGATTGCGGAGGTGTAAGTTTGGCCATTGACTCATTAACCATCCACAATGCCGAGCGAACGACTGTGGAGTGTGGTTTTGTAAGCTTAGGTAATCTCTGCCGAGCCAATAAGCCGGAAGATCCCAGTTCCGCCGGAAGATCCGTGGCCACGGGCGTGGACGGGGATGGTACGGTGCACGGCTTCAGTTCATGTAACAGGGCAATCTTGTCTGAGTATGCCCAACCAGGAGAAAAATCTGTTGCCTCCGTGTCCAGAGAGGGAACTGTCAGTATACCCTCATGCATAGATACCTGTGCATCCGTGAGAGGATATATGCCTTGATTGTCCGTATCCATAACATCCGAAAATATTGGAATAATTGGAGGATTGTCAATATCAATATGGTCAACACCGGCCGGGGCAATCACAGTCGTGGAGTACGACGGCACAGTATTTCGGCTGGTTCAGACGCCGTGGAAGCACTGGAACCCGTCACGGTATTATCCAAGCCTGGACCCGCAGATTTCGACGCCATGGTCTTGTCTGGGACGGTGGATTTATGAGCCAGTTGGGACTGGGACAATGCCATGGCTGTCTTCAATTCCTCAAACTGAGCTTGTGGACCCGTGGAAATGTTCTGGACAATCCGACGGCTCTCTATAGTTTGTTCCTGACTAGCTACGGATTGCTGTTCGATTCCGAGAAGCGGCTATAGATCGTTTCAGTTCCTTCATTTTACTAAAACTCCTCTGTTCAAGATCTTTAAGAGCTGATCCAAAAGAAGCATTTATATCTTCCTTAAATGAAGCCAGCATAGATGAAAGAGAATTCAAATCAATTGTTTATGGAGTAGAAGTGTGTTCGGGAGTAGACGATTTAGTGCTCTTAGGCTTCCTTCCCGTATCAGAGGATGACGATTTGCGTTTCTTAGCCCTAAGTCTAGCGTCATTCATATGAATCCACTCAGTCTCTGATAAGTCCTGACACATCAAACAACGTGAAGATAAGGAACAAGGAGGATCCTAAACATAACGAGTGAGGGTCCTTATCTGATTGAAAACGTTGGCAACCAACACACTTCTTTTGAGACATGATAGCCTATCAACGCGCACAAATACAAAAATGGCGGGAAAATTTGCAAGTCACAATAAACAATTTTTACGCCAAAATAGAGTTCAAAGTTAATAAATACTATGGCATATAACTGAATGCGACAGTACTAACCAATGGCGTCACGGTAGAAGGTAGAACTTGTATGCATAAGGCTGAAAATCCAAGGAAATCTAGACACGTCTTCACATGGTGAGTACAGAGGAAAATATGACACGTGTTTGTTATTACTGGCAGAAGAGCAAGTCAAGGGAGGTAATCGAGCGGGATCAAGTGTTATCTAGGTAACGATCACTTCCCTTTGTTATTCAATTTTTATCTAAGGGAGTCTGTAACACATCACCAAGTGACGGAAGAAAAGGCTAACACAACCCAGAGGGAATGTTTGCGCCTATAATTACTTCCTTATGACACTGTCAAGGATGAAATAGACATCCTTGCATATGTATTAGTTTTCTCATAACTTATCGATTTTCTCATACACGTCATAGAAACAAACAAACATGAACTAAGAGATTTGGGTCTAGATCTTCAATTATTGCATATGGCAGAGTGGCTTACACTGTAATTGACAAGTTTAAGCATGAGTGGTAATCACAGTAAACAACAGAACTAAAAACATAAATTCATTTTGAAATTTGTAATGTACCTGTCTTGTTTGCTAACAGTAACTTTCATTACAAATGCCAATTCAGTATGGCAGATAACACTCTACAGTTATCCATCTATGGTTAAAATTATATTCTGTTACTGTGTATGATGTCGCCACTAACCCATCCCCCACTGTAATGTTGTGGGAATATTTCAATTGTTGGCATAAAACATCACTAATAACGAGTGCCCTCTGTAAATTGCCCTGTTATACAGGGGCGGATACAGCTTTTAGAGAGTGTGTGTGTGTGTGTGTGTGCGCATGCATGCATGCGAGACATTCTTGAGAAAGGGGTGGGGTGGGTGGGTGGTGCACACTTCATTTTCACTAGAGTTTCAATGATCATGGTTTCAACTTTCAACTTTCAGGATGAAAGGGGGGTGCGCACCCCTCTGGATCTGCCTATGTTATACAAGCCAACTCATATCAAGAAAGACATGTTCAGGGTATGTTACTTGTTAGTTGGTATTTACACATTCAGTCACACAATTTAAGTTTTTTGAATACTGAAGTAATTAAGTTACGGGTATTTTCTCTGCTCTTTATCAGCAAGAGTAAGAGTTACAAGTATCAACTTGAAATCAAATGACAAAATCAACGCACTATTTAAGAATGCCACACAGGTAGATTTGGACATGTCTGTCTTTTATAGCCAGACATTATTCCAGAGGACTGCCAGTGTCCGCTGTGATAGGACGAACTCTCATAGCACTAGAATTAGTAGAAACACAGGAAAGTTCACTTGCCAACATGTTAGGCAAGCATGTTCTTTAACTGAAGGTAAGTCTTACCAGTATTGTATCTGAACCTGGCACATCTGATCCTGATATTAAGTGTTACTGTCATTACTACAGGGCAGTGACTTTCGCTGAAGTCACAGGAAAATAGTACAAACTATAATAACATGCTGGTTGATATGGGACGTCCTGGCTGAAACGTTGACTGAATGGATCATCAGCTTCAAAAACCTTTATAAAATTTGGTGGATGGAGCATGTGTTTAAACCAAGTACTGGTCATTTGTTTGAGTGGCATTCTAGAAGTTGGTGGTATAGGGATGACAAGACTTTATGGATGATCAACTTCTTTATTTTGACAATGGCGACATTTCGGTATAGATTCTTATACCGTTTTCAAGCATATGGGGGAATGAAGGGGTGCACCAGTTCATATACAAGATACTGATACAAGGTACTAGGTAATCATGGACAACCGGTTTGATTTTCTTCTACATGTGAGAGCTCAAGACACACACTAATGTACATAGCTCTGACTCACTCATAAACTTTCTTCATTATACTGTAAGTGTTAAAATGAAGTCATATGTTCCGAATTACAACATTTTGATAGTGCTGTCTGTACCCAACAGAGGCCTACATATTTTTTTGAGGAGCTCACAAATTGTTAACACTTGATGTGGTCAGTCCCATAATGATCAATAAAACAATAAAGATATCAAGGGGTATAATCACATATTCAAAACCTTCTAGTATTAAACAGAAAATATGAATGTTAACTAAGAGCAGTTAGGAGTTTCAGAAAACATCTACGTTACAATGTCATCTTCTTCAACCCTATTTAGGCCCCACCTAATCAAGCTGTTCCCGGATTTCACACACGGAATGTTTTCCAGTACATAAATGCGCGTAGTACACCACAGTTTTCCTCGTCAGGGTCATCAGTGCTGTGTAAAGTAATCAACTCAATCGTGGGGTTTTAAACAACAATTTTCTTGTTCGTTTTCCGAAAATGACATATTCTAGTAACTGTATCTAGATACAGTTCGACAGCGAAACCGAATTTACACACTTACCACTCTTCCCAACCCCTCCGTCACCGAGAATCACCAGCTTGTATTTTGTCCTGCTCTTAGCGGCCGAAGATGTCGCTCCACTCATTCCGATGTTCTTACAATTATCACACACATCGTCAGGCCATGTTGTTAAATGTTCATATACAAACGCAAGTCGTTTTTGCGTGTAAATGTTTTGATTGCAAAGATGTTCTAAAGATAGTTTGTTGCACACCGCAGTCCGGCACCTGCCGAAGCCCGTGACGGCTGCATTGATTGGTAGATATTTATAGATTATCAGAATAGCGAAGCTGATTGGTCTGAAGTTTAACCTAGTCAGTCAAAGGTCACGGGTCGTGAGACATACCCGACACACGGTAGTTTGGATGTCCCGTTAACCATATCTCATGTACTCATGCATTTCTGAAAGGTTGTGTCACATCTACGTCTAGAACTTCATTATTTTCACGCCTGAAATGGTGCATGGATACCTGAAAAGTTTACGGACAATGATGAAATAGAATCCTGCCCGTTGTTATGGTACATTTATTTATACAAGTTCTGTTGAGCTATAAGTATATGCATATGGTAAATATGGGACGTTAATACAGAGATGCCTCTGCATAACCCTCTACAGGAATCTATGTGCATCTATATACTATGCATATTTGTATATATGTAGATCAACGCCCACACTCTGAATATATGCAACTCTGTCAGAATCAAATGGCTCCATTTACATTGAAAACGATCCCCACTGGGATGAGGGATGGGGGATGGATACTGAACCTAAGGAAATCTAGACTTGCATCATTTATATAGCATTTGCACTACAGGCAGTGCTATGCCAAAGGAAAATGGGTTCAGGGATTAGATATGTGTCTCGTCTTTCATCGACCATAGAACCCGGCGTAGGCTATATGTTTTTAGATACCTTTTTGTCATACTAGTACTTGCATTTTACAGTGTGACAGATTACAATTTGTTTTCTTCTCAACTTTTTCAGAATAATGTTATCAACAAACCTCTCAGGCGTCTGTCAATTTTTTTACGGCTTGTCAGTTCGGGATCTTTTCCAACTTAAAACCATTTCAAGTTGTGTATGCAACAGCTAAATCCGACTGTAATATGTGAATTAGATGTGTGCTTTAATAAAGTATAGGGTCAACCCTAAATATAGACAAATATTTCAATTTATACATTTCAGCATGTTTACGTCTGTAAAAGTGGAATGAATAGTTATCAATAATTTCATTACGGATGTAAAATATTTGCAACCGTGCACTATCACTTGATACTACAACTTGTGTATAATGCAGATATGCACTGCATGGTGGTTATATTTGTTCAATGCAGGTTTTAAATAAATACATCCCAAGGTGTGTCCCATATAGGTATGCCACGTCCGCCTAATGTTTGTATTACCCGTAAAGGTCCAGGTTAGAATGAACCTTCAGTAACCCATGCTTGTCATAAGAGCGACTAACGGGATCGGGTGGTCAGTCTCGCTGGCATGCATGGTTGACACATGTCATCGGTTCCCATTTGCGCAGATCGATGCTCATGCTGTTGATCACTGGATTGTCTGATCCAGACTCGATTATTTACAGACTGCCCCCATATAGCTGGAATATTGCTGAGTGCGGCGTAAAACTAAACTCACTCACTAATGTTCGTATTGTCAGTCTGAGATACAACGATATTATAAGGATCAGCTGGGTCCAGAGACAATATATAATAGATCTATTATATGGTCTCTGCTGGGTCTAATAAATGTTGTGAAAGTGAGTGAGTCAGTTTTTGTCAGATGCAGCATATCAACTTGATGTGAGAGGAGCAGACACAGATCACAGACGTTTATTAGTTCTGTTGAAACTAGGGCTGCGTAATATAACCGGTTTACCAGTATATACCGGTTCAGACATGAAAACGATACGTATTGCGATATATACGCTGATCAAAAACCGGTATTTTGACATGCATTCGGAAAACTTGGTAACACTCGGAAATCGTCGGAAATTTCCGTTTTATACACCGGAAGTCATGCATAGTTTTTATTAAAGCTTAATCAGGCATAGTGATTTTGTTGTGTTTTGCAATAACTTCCTGCAATATATTGCAATACATATCGCAATACATGCTTTCGCATCGCAATATGAAAATTCTCTGCAATACCCACCCCTAGTTGAAACCCACTGGTACTTGTATGGTGTTGCCAAACCAAGAACCTTTATCGGTGTGAACCGCGAATAAATCCACCATCATTAGTTTTCTTTGCAATGACTGCACCTTGGACGACTGAGCCCAACTTGATCTCTAACAGTTTTTCATAATATGATACCAGTTATGGGGCTGCCATGAGGCAATAACTTGAAGGAACTGATTGTAAGACAATTCATATGATAATTAGTACTATAAAGTACCCTGACTAGTATGCTGTGGCAGCGTATGCATGGTCATACATGCAAAATCGTGAACAAGCATTGTCACTAAGGTGACATAATCCCCCGCCACATATTATCAAATCGAACTCAAAAAGTAATGACAGTGAAGGTTGTAGTTTAAGATGAAGTTAAATGTCAACAAAAACATGACCAGTCAACCTATCTTGATATCTTGCTCTGTAGTTGTTCAAATACACAAATATTGTCAAGAGTCACTTTGAAATTTGACATGAATGTCATGGTGTATGAAATATGCAAAAATAGTAATAAAGAAAATGCTTATCAAAAACATTGAAGAGAAGTCTTGAAAGTCTGTGAAGAAAATCCAGTGAACTGTTCTTGAGATATCTTGCTGACAATCTTAACATGCAGGAGTAGTATACACAATGGGGCTACGGGACCAGGTCCCCCCCCTCAAGGGCTCATTTTAAAAATTGAGGAGTCCCTAATCCCGTAGCCCCATTGCGTATACTGCTACTGAGGTGCACGCAAAATTTGATGAAAATCGGTCGAATAGTTTCTGAAATATTGACTTTAAAGTGAGCATGGGGTCGGTCGGGAAAAGGCAAAATGTCTAACTCTTTGTCGTAATTAAGTCTTAATTAATCTAATGAAGTCATTGAGAGTGTTCCCAATGCCGTTTTGCTATAGCGTAACCATCCGCCGAGATGCATGCAAAATTTCACAAAAATCGGTCAAATAGTTTACGAAGTAATCACATTTTAGTGAGCATGGGGTCGGTCTGGCGAAAGGCTAACAACGTTTTGTCGTACTTGTATATATTATCGAGGTGAGGGGTGTTTTTAGCTGAATGAAACGCAGGTCTCGGCAGTCATCACCTCGCTACTGTCTCGTGGGTTGCTTTGAGCGAGCGCTGTGGACGAGTATAAGTGTGTGCGCGTGTGTGTCTCGGCTTGGCTATGATGATGATGCACAAATGGCTGGCTAGTGAGGCTACAGATGTCTGAAAGTGAATGAAAAGCATCCCTCGGCAGTTCCTCCCAGGTCGTCGTCTCGGTATCACCGAACGAGCGCTGTGGGCGAGTCGCAGTGTGTGTGTGTCTCGGGGCGGTTATTATTCACCATGTGCAGCTCACTGTAGAGCTGGCTGGCCACAAAGCATACCACAACCTAATAGCACATACAAATAATCATGAGAATTATCATAAGGTGGGCGATCTAAAAGGGACCGTGTCGTGAGGTACGATCATCCACCACTCGCGCTATGCGTACGACCCATTCCGTGTTTCTGTTTTTGGGATCCATTAAATCCTGCGAGTACTGATGTGAGAACAGACATTCGGCTAAGGTGCGATTGAATCTCTCGACTACGGCTTGGCTTCGGAGAGCTCCCGCCACACCTCGTCTTACCTGGACTTTGTGCTTGGCCAGCAGTTGTGACACGGCTCCCATGAACTCGCGTCCGGGATCGCTTTGCAATATGGCAGGCCAGGTCAAGCGACTGCGTTTGTATATGCGTTCTAAGGCTTTCGCGACTTCGTTCGAATCTTTGGTCATCAACAGTTTGGCTTCCTTGTAGTGACTGGCGACGTAAACGACTGTCAGGGCATACTTGTAGGTTTTACGCCTCACCCTGTCATGAAGTAGAAACAGGAGGTCGGCTTGGTGAACGCGATTCGGCGTTGAAATGTCGAATTTTCTTCTCGGGATGTACCGGGGTGCTGGCAGGTAAACTTGCCAGATGACTTGTTTTTTAAGCCAAGCTTTGGTGACGTCTTCCGAGACTCTAGCGGCTTTGGCGAGTTTCGGGATGGCGTCTGCGCCTTTCCAGTACCCGCGTGGGCTGTAATAAATTTTCTCCATGACTTGCAGATACAAGGGGGCAGTGTAGGAGTGTGTATCCCCTTGACTTGCAGATATAAGGGGGCAGTGTAGGGGTGTGTACCACCTTGACTTTACAGTGGCAGTGCAGGGTTATATACTTCCTTGACATCATTAGGTCTCCTGTGTGCATCCCCTTCATACAGATCTATCGAGTAGTGAAGGTATGTGTTCCTTCCAAGACCAATGCTAGACAAAGTGTAAGCATAAAGAAACACTATAACTTACTAATTTGTTCATATACTACTGGAATAAAGTAACTGTGCATTATTTGATGTTATGCCATTTTTTAATGCAAAAAGATTTTAAAATGATTTTTTGTGTTTTCCTTAATCACCGTTTAACTGTTGACAGGATAATATCGAAATCTGTATGATTTGACATTAGGCATTGTGACACGCCCTTGAAGAGATGTAGTGTCACACGTCAGTTCACAAATTCAGTATATCGTGTGTGTCCACCATTGGCATTGATGCAGGCTTGACAATGACGACAACAACGCATAGATGACACTAAGCGATTGAAGAAAGCTTGAGGAATGTTGTTCAATGTCTGACGCTTGTCCTAATTCAGCTAAGGTCAATGGCTGACTCTGGGCTTGACGTAAGCGTCACTCCATTTCAGCCAAACCATGCTCGATAATAGAAACAGCTTGCCAGGGGAGTATCAGAATGTTCTGCTGTCTCAAGAAATCTGTCACAACACGAGCGACATGTGGACGGGTATTATCTTGCTTTTAAAAGTGTGAAGTTACGTCTCCGTCCTTGAATGAACGGCTGCACATGCACATGAGGCCCAATGATCTAACCCATGTATCGCAACCCTGTCAGATTGCCATTGACAATGACAAGTTGTGTCCGACCATGAGATATGATGCCCACTCACCCCGATACCATAATGCTGGCGCCACAAAACTGTTGATGTTGAACAACGCACGCGTCAGCATACCGTTCACCTCACTGGCTGTACACCCTTGCCCTGCCATCAGAGCTGTCCAGATGAAATCTCGATACGTCAGTGAACAAAACACCAACCCAATCTTGTCTCCTGTACAATAGATGCTGTCTGCACCGGGCAAGACATACCTGTCGGTGATGTCGGATTAGAAGTGGACGTATTGCAGGCCGTTGGGGCCCGATGTTGTGTTCCTTCAGTCGGTTCCATATAGTCCTGGGACTGATTAGACGTCTGCCAGGAATGGTCTGAGCAGTCAGACTGGCAGTCTGGAATGGACTCCTTAGATGGGTCAGATGGCTGGTCTGAGGCAAATCTCTTGTGTTATGGTGAAAAATGTCTCCATAGAGAGGAGATCGTGTTTCAATGGACACCAAATGTCTGGCCACTTCATTTTGGCCATTCCACTCTCTTATTTTAAGCAATTTTATGTAATACACAGTTACTTTTACCCATTAGTATATGTTTTCCAAAAGATAAGACCACTACCAATGACAAATTGCTTAAGGGATTTGCATCCCTTTTCCTCAATGCAAACTTGTCATGAAAAGTGCATCCACCAATCCCATGATGGTACATCATGACTTGTTGCACATTGTGTACTGGAGACCTGTCTATGTACCAAATTCACTTTACGTGATGATCACAATAATATACAATATATGCCACTGGGTGTCATATACAAATGTACCAAACCAGATTATACAACCATATTACACTCAGCATCTCAGTACACTTGGACTTGTGTGCTAATATCCCATTCATTATTAAAACCCAGTCTGCCAACTTCCTTCACAGTGATGGCTTTGGTTAATCAGTAACCTTCATAAGGATTCTAACAGACACAGTGAGGAACTAACATAGAGATTTATCTTGGATTGTAAACAGTAATGTAGGTGCGCTTGGCAGGGAAGTCGGAGAAATCTGTCATTATTGTGCATAAACTAGTTCTTGTTTCCCTTACCACCAAGGTCAATACATGACATGATTTTAAGGATAACAACTTTTTTTATTCTTTATATGATGTTTCAGAACTAATTCTTGCACCTTCATCATTTATCTGATGATGGAGCAAGAATTAGCTCTGAAACGTCATATAAAGAATTAAAAGAAGTTGTTATCCTTAAAAATCATGTCATGTATTTATGTTCATCCAACTTCTGAATGCCTTTCAAGAATTTAAATACCAAGGTATTTTGACAATGCATACAGTGTAAACTGAGTAGCATTCAAGCCTTCAGTGTTTTTTCATCCAGTGGTGTACCTCTAAAACACCATAACAGAGTTAGAACTATTATAACATGAACTTGGAAGTTAAACTCCAATTTCATTTTTACTAGACTTTGGACCAAATACTGTCCTCTGACCAGATCCTGATAAATCTATACTGACTTCCTCAAATGTTCTTATAAACAACCTGGGCCCATTCAAAAGCATAGCTATGTTTCAAATGGCCTGATACTCAAAATAGCCCTCCTATGAAAACACACTTATGGGAGGGGTCTACCTCGAACAAAACAATTAAGGGTCCACAGGACCCCCCATTTACCAATTTCAAGGGTTTTTATGTGAAATATGATGGTCCAGTAAACTGATGAAATGACGCAGCAGACTGTACTGTTTTATGACTACTTGAATTTATATTTCTTGTCACGAATTTTGAAAAGTGAAGATTATTGTATTTTTATGTATTTTTCTGCGTCCATTCTATACATTTGGGCGTATTGGATGCATATTTCTGCGTCACGTAAAACCCTGCTTACGGGCTTGAGAAAGTTTGAGATAGAATCGAAGAAAGTGATGACATAACTTCTGACTGGAGGCTATAGTAGCACATAGAGGATACTAAACGACCTTCTGTGTAAATACCATCTTTATTAAACGAATTAATGATTTGGTATCAAACGAGGTGGGTGAGGTGAAATTGGGTTTAGCGTCGTGCTTGAGAATATTTCACTCATATGACGACGTGCATGCGTGTGTATGTGTATGTGCGGCTGCTTGTACTAGCCCAGACTTAAGCTGGTTTTATAGCGCTAGCCCACTGAGATACCATGCCGCAGTGAAGCATGAATACCCACTCAGACACATTATATTGACTCCAAGCCGACCAGTCCTTGTTGTACCCAGTAATGCCGAGTGCCAGACAGGGACCAACAAGTACCATATTTTAACGTCTTTTGGTATGACGCGGCCGGGGATCGAACCCGCGACCTTCCGCTCTCCGGGCGGATGCTCTAACCACTACACCATAGAGGCGGTCGGTTTCAAACGAGTGAAATCGAGTTTGATGCTAAATCTTTCACGAGTTTAATGAAAGTGGTATTTCACGGAAGCGAGTTTAGTATTCTGTTTATTACTCTCCAACATAAACTGATAGAAACTGCCTACGAAGTGTGATGACTCTCAGCTTTCCATGAGTCAACAATGTCTAATACCATTGTGACAGAGGTATTAGCATTGTGACGTCATAACTGTAAAGCATTATGACATTATAACGTCAAGCGGTATTACAGTAGTGTATCTTCCAGGGGCGAGTAATAAATAGATGTATTACACAGGATAATCAAGAAGACATAAAGATATTATTTTCTTTGTACTAATACTAATACTGGTTTTGACATTGTTGGATGCTTGAGTTTTAAAAAGACATGCATATTTCAGTGTGTGTGTGTGCATGCATGCATGCATGCATGCATGTGTGTGCATGTTTAATGTCACATATAAAATATTACACATATATGATAGTGTAATCGCATCTGGACCAGATAATCCAGAGATGTGGTATTTTTAACAACAATAAATCCATTAAATCGTAACTTACATCAAGTTTATAGTACAATGGTGTCCCCTGTCATGGCTACAAATGACCCCTGACAATCAGCACTGGTCAGAAGTTTTGACTTGTACATGTCACGGACCATTTGAAGCCAAGATTGGACATAATATCCTTAAAAAACACTCCTGTTAATCTAATAAAATCAAGGTAACTGGGACCCTGATGTGTGGTGCAAAGCCAGGAATGGTACTGACCTCACTACTACAATTATCAGTACATGCAATAGTTACATATCCACAGCCATAATTGTCATAAGAAAAGGGGCCAAACAACATGCACCACAGAGTTGTCTCCCTTAAAAAAAACCTGTTTACTAGTATACATTTTTTCAAATCAAACCTTAAAAATAACACACATACTGTGCCATGGTTTGTATGACCACTTAAACTCAAACATAATTCAGCTTTCTAAGTGTAGTTCTTTCTGAAATGTCATATAAATAAGAACCACATAAATATCAGATCAGAAAGGTTTGAAATGCATCCATAGTACCCGGGGTTTTCCGAAAGCAAGCCCAGGGCATCTATACGGAAAATAGGGTTTTTGACAAGTGAACTTTGACACCAAATAGAAGCCCGGGCTTATATTCGGAATCATGGGCTTTATTCGAACTTTTTTTTACAGTGACAATCATATGGAATAAAAAATCATAAGGCAAAAAGTGAAGGAACTCTTTTTAATATTACTTTCACGAATATTGCAATGACTATGCAATGAAACGGAACGCATACAAACTCTAATATAAAGTACGATTGTAAACCGATGCTTGTCATTGCCAGTATGGACAGCATCGATGTATTTGTTGCCAATGAAATCCATCGTTTTTTTCCTGTCGTCATGTCTATATAGCATGGCGTTTCATCCATGTTGAGGATATGAGCAGCATCGTAACCCAACGTAAGCTGTTCTACGCCGTGAAGGTGATCCTGTATGATTGTCTTGAACATACTGACTAAAGAGATGAGACAACAGGCAAAATACGAGACAGTTTTGCAACGTCACTAGTAACGCCTGTGAATATGTATAACACTTGTATTTCAAGACCACCTTGGGGTAAATCCGAACGTTTAAAGTCCTTATTTATCACCTGTATAGTCATTCTCTTCCCACAGAGGTTACTTGTCATATCTTCCTACGAACCTCTGTTCTAATACGGCCATATTTCCCGGTTCTCGTAAAATCCCCTAGCGGCAAAAGATCACAAAACGAATTATCTCCCTTCTTTCTATCCAATCAGAACACGTGTTACATCGACTTAGATTCAACTTGACTAACACAAGCAAATGTGGGGCGACAAATATCCCCCTTCTGCCGGGGACTTGTGTTGATATTACACACAAGACGTTTAATGGCTGGCTTGTCCATTGTCAACGAGGGCGATGGAGACGCCACTGATCCGCCATTACATGACTGAGTTCTGTCTATAGAAGAAACGGTGTGCATCGCGCAGGGGAAGAGGTTTAGTTTTCTCGAAGCATATGGAAATTACCGAGGCCTTGCGAATGATCACTTTTGAAACAACGTCGCTGATTGCACAACTAAATCTGATTGCCTCCAATCACGAGTCTTGAACGCTCACACCATGAAAGGGCCGTATTAGAACTGAGGTTACGTAGGAAGATATGACAGGAGTAACCTCTGTGGGAAGAGAATGCTGTATAGTCAGATCTCCACATCTCTTCAGAAAGTGGGGACGGTGGGGTAGCCTAGTGGTTAAGGCGTTCGCTCGTCACGCCAAAGACCCAGGTTCGATTCCCCACATGGGTACAATGTGTTAAGCCCATTTCTTGTGTCTCCTGCCGTGATATTGCTGGAATATTGCTAAAAGCGGCGTAAAACCAAACTCACTCACTCACTCACTTCAGAAAGTGAGTGAGTGAGTTAATGTTTAACGTCACATCGGCTCTTCAGAAAGTAGTTACACATTTGGCTCTGTGCTCTAGGTACATGTCCAACTATGAGATGACCACGTTTTACGGCTACAGCTTAACGATCTGCATAATTTAGATTACCACGTTCAGTATTCAAAATTTCATTCTCTTCAGGTGCCAAAATTTGCTATAAACCACGAATAACACTTTCAACAGCGTAAACAGATGGGTTCGTCATGTCAAATATAGGAAGAAATAACATGGACTATTTGTATTGTAGAAAGGGGAGGCTATTCTCATTTGAGTGTGTGAGTGAGTTGATGTTGAACGTCACATCGGCTACACTAATTCGACACACTTTGGAATTAAATAGAAGCCCATGGGCTTGTGTTTGGAATTTTTTTCCGAATAGTAGCCCATGGGCTTCTAAACGAGAGGGCTTGCTTTCGGAAAACCCCGGTAACCATCAGAGAACAGAACATAACCATTCACAATTGTGAGCTGCAAGACATTTATTTAATGTGACTGTAATGCATGACAGTGACACATGTGTATGTTTCAAGTCTCATGACAACAATGACTGTGACAAT